CTACAATACCCACAGTGCCCCGCGGCCACCGCAGCACCGCGCGTGCGCGTCACCTCGGGTAACCTGAGAGGAGCCGGGGGGTGCGGGGCGCCATTGGTGACGTCATGAAGCGCGACGCGGCGTGACGCGCAATGTGCGCGCTGCGCGGGGTTCGTGAGGGAGGCTGAGCGCGCCCCGCTCCCGGTCCCGGGCACGGCGAGGCCGCGGCGGCGGAACGAGCCCGCTCCGAGCTCCTGAGCAGCACCCGGGGCTGCTGCCGGTCTGCTGCGGGCTCCCTTTGCACCGTGARACCGCGGCCCTGTGCGCTGCGGGGGGAGCGCGCCGCGGCCTGCTGTGCTGGGGGCAGTGAGGGACAGCAGGTGAAGGGCGGAGAGCACTGTGGAGGTACTGGGAGCACTCTTTGGGGCGCTGGGGGAAAACTCGGGCACCGGGGCAGGAGTGTGGTGATCGGGAGCACTGGGAAATGGTGCTGGGGCTGTGGGGAGGGCGGTTCTGGAGGGTTGGGAGGTACTGTGAAATAGCCGCCCCGAAGGGACCCGGCTGCCTGCGCAGCGCTGTGGGTGCTCTTTCCTGTGGCAAAATAAAGCGCATTCCGCATTGTGTGAGGACTTGGCGGCTCCATGTGCCCTGCCGGTTATCCCGAAGACTCCCGTGCGGGATGGGAGCTTCCCGTTGGATGCTGAGCGATCCCGCGTTCCGCATGTTGGTTTAGGGTGATGCTGTGCTGGGTGCAGGATCCTGTGTAGGTTCAGATCCAAGCGTGCTCTGGAACGTGCAGTTGTTTTTTGGGGCTGTGGGTGCTGCGGTGTGTTCTTTATTTCCAGCTTCTCCACTGCTCTCTTCTGTTCTGGCAGCCACAGTCCAAAGAACGAGTGGCTGTGAGAGAAATATATTGCAATGTCTCTGTTTTATTGTTAAAATCATTTTTATTGGAGTTGAAATAGAGAGRGCGGGTGGTTGTGCTGCTGCACAGCAAGGGAAAAGATCTGCTTAGCCATGATTATCAGTTAAAAAATTAAAAGTTTTCCCTAACCCTGTTTAGGCCTCATGATGGTGACAGCTCATCTCTATATAAGTTGCTAACTGTTCTAATTTTTCTTTTTTTTTGTTTTAAGCAAAAGTGACAGCAATGTGCAAAAAATGGATGTGGTAACTGCTCGCCTGCGGACTAAATATCCCCAGTGGATGCTTATAGAGGATCAGGAGGAAACTTTGGGGMATAAAAAGGTTGGTCCTGGCTTGGGGATGCTTTGCAGGCCACATAATAACCCAACTTTGGGGCCTGTGCCTACAAGGGAATTTTGGTGTTCCTGCTGCTCATTCAGGATTGTGGGCTCTACATCAGCAAGGATGGGGGATTTCATATCCATTGGATTTCTCATCCATAATTTGAGAGCTCCCAAGGCAATGACCTCAAGTTGTGGCCTGGGAGGATCTTCTTGCATTTGCACATGTTCAGTAGTCCAGCAGGTTTTGCAGCCTGTATCAGGTGAATTAATGGTTCATCAATTTTTGGTGTCCCTAAGGTGTAAGTGTGTCCTTGATTTTTTTTTTTTTTTCCTGTGTGTATGAGCAGTTCAGTATAAAATGCCCTCTAGAAGGGGGRCATTTGTAACATCTAAAACAGCTTTAACAATTAGAAAATTGATGAGGGGAAAAAACAGATGACTTGGTTCAGCAGTTTTTATTCTGCTAAGAGGAAGTAAATAATTTGTAGCCCACATATTAAAAATTAACAGGAGAAGCAGCCATGACTTTCTCTTTGAGTGCTCAGAGTGCAGCAGAGAAATTGTGGCAGGATCCCAAATGTTTTGATGCAGGGAGTGTGTGATCCTGGCTGGGATGGATGTCCCTGCTGAGGACAGTGTGGTGCATACTCAGGTCTCTCCCAAATCTTGTTTGACAGAGGTCTGGTGTCCARAAGAGTGTTCTGGARGATGKKCTGCCATTCCTGGAGTTCTGTGGCTCTGTTGTTTATAGCTACGAAGCCAGTGACTGTTCCCTTCTCTCAGAAGATATCAGGTAACAGCTCATACTCAGTTTTTTCTTCTTTCCTTTGAGTGCTTCTTTCTGGAAGGGGTTTGGCTCTTGGAATATTTTCCCATTTTTTGAGTGAGATGCCGTTGCTGAACCCTTCAATCCCTCTAACCATAAGCTGTGAAGATTCTAATGCAGGTTTATTGCTTTTTACAGTATGAATAATTCCATGAGCTTCAGTGACTTCATGGAGRTGTGTTAATTCCTGACAGGGGACTGTGTGTTTAAAGAAAACACAGTAAATTCATKGTATTAAGACATTATTGTTTTTCCCTTTTTTCATGTAACACAGCTCATGGTGCTGGGAGAAAAATTTCTGTCCAAAGCTTCCAGTGCTGTGGGATAAATTATAACTACCTTTCAAGGGATTATGGGCCAAATCAAGAAGAAACTTTTAAGAGAATAAAAACTATTCCATCATGGTTTGTCTCTGGCTGTCCTTGAGGACTGTGTGGCCAAGTTTTAGTAGTGGAAAGCTAAAGGCCCTGTCTGTATTGGGATCTTAGGGGAAAGAGGTAGGAAATTTGGGAATCCAGCTGAGCCAGGGAAGAAGGGAGGGGTGAGACAAAGGTGWTTCAGGATGGTTTTMTTTCCCATTATSCTACTCTGATTGGATTGSTAGTAMATCAGTTCATTTYRATRGATTTGCTTTGCCYAGGACAGCAATTTCTGAGTRTCTCTCCACTTGGTCCTTCTTTCAACCCACAATCTGAAGCTATTTATAAATAATATGCTGCTATCTGCTGAGTTTTGCTGCATTCCATGTGGTTTTGTGGCTCAGCAGGAATTTCACCTCCTTTTGGTCTTTGTTGYAAAATGGTTTCTGTGTCCTTCACGAGTGAAATGAAGAGGATTTCAGCCAGTGCACCTTTCACTTTGGTGTAAAGTGGCTTGAAGTTGGTGTTTTAAATGCTGSTAGACCAACAGATGAACCTGAGGGGTGTCTGTGTTTTTCCAGGCAGAGTTTGGCAGTTGGGGCTGCTGTTGGATTTGACATTGAGTGGCCACCATCGTACACCARAGGGAAAATGGCCAAAACAGCTGTAATCCAGATGTGTGTTGCTGAGGACAAGTGTTACTTGTTTCACATCTCCTCCATGGCAGGTAYTGCACTTCCTCTCTTATTTAGGGCATGAACTACTCGTGGTTTCTTGTGGTTAAGTTTGTACTTAGGCCTTGAGCAATGGATAAYGTGTCCTACTACATGGGACAGTAAAAATTCATCTTTTTTTCTCCCCTTTCCCTTTTTCCCTTTCATATAATGAAGGGATTTATCCTTTTAAGTGGTACCTAAAAGATAACCTTAGCTTGCCATGTGTGCTTGAGAACATGATGTGGGTTCTGAGCAGAGCAGAAAAGTCTCATTTGAGATTATTTTTCTCTCTGGGAGAGAAAATTTTATTCCAGTTTTAAAAATTGAAGTCCCTGCTCCTATAATGACTTTTCTGTTTCGTGCCAAAATAAACAATGAACCTAAATAGAGCAGGCTGTGATTTTTTTGTGCTTTTGTTTGGTTTTTTTTAATTTTTTTTTAATTCATCTTGAACAAAAAGACTAAAAATGATGGCACTTGTGCTGTTTATTCCCAATACTTGCATTATGTGATATCAGTTTTGGGAAAGAGTGCTGGGTACCTGGTGTGATGCAGCTGTGGGGAGAGAAGGGGGTTTGCTTAGCAGAGGCTGAATTCATTATGGATGTGAATAAAAGCTTCCAAATAGGGAAAAYAGGGATGAGGGAAGGAAATGGCAATTTTATAACCTTTGGTTTAAAATGTTGGATTGAAACTATGCCTGTGAGAGGTTTCTGATTTCCCTGGGGGACTCATGCTGAGGTATAATAGCGATAATTTTAATGTTGGTGTTCAATCCTTTGTCATTTAGAGCAAATGGGGTGGAAAATTTAATTGCTGGAGGCTATTCCGTCAGGGAGGCGYGAGAGCACAAAGGAAAATGATGTGAGGAGAGGAAGCTGAGGGAAGAAGAGCCATAAAGAGCTGAAATGCTTTTGATTYTGGCAGGGGAGGCATTGGTGTGCCGATGCMGAGCGTGGCTGCACGTGGGCTGCTRTGTTGCAGCTAAAGGTGGTGTTTACTTCTGAATAGTTTTCCAGAATGCTTGTTTTTGCCAATGGGAGATGCACTTTGAACTGAGTGACTTGTGCACTCTGGTTTCTGTGCAGCAGCCAGAGSAAATTTCTGCTTATTAAGGCAATATATTTGATCTGCAGAAATGTTGGCCGAGTCATAATAAAAAGCATTAAGTCTTAGGAAAGAGACTTTGTTCTGTGGGAGGAATAAAGAGTTCTCGGACTGTGTATAAATGACAAAACCACATTTATTTATTGGRAAGATTTTTCGTAATTTTCCAGTTTTTAGTGTTTTTTAATTTCCTTACAGTCTGCTGAAATATGGCTTCTTCCTCAGACTGTAGCTTCTGCAGTCTTCAACTTAGACTTTTCGGTTTTTGTGAGTCACTTTTCTATCAATGAGGTGGTGGAAATGGGCACGAGTCCTCCACTGGGAAGTGCCCATCCTTGAAGGTTTTAATGATAGTTCCCTCAGGTGAAAATCTCTTATGCATTCAGGCAGCTGCCTATGGTGCAGGCTTTTATTTGATTGAATTCTACATCCTTTGTGGAGCATTTTCCATATTTTGTTGTGGCTCACATGCTTTGGAAATATCATACTTTGTCTGCACCTCACAGCACCAGGCTGCTACTCTTTTGGGGTTTTTTTTAGCAGTTCTTTTTTAGTGCTTTGGGTTGGACCTGCAGTTTCTCAGTCTGCAACACAGCTGACTGTGGCYGTAGCTGCAAATGTACAGTGGCAGTGGCAGCCATGTAAAGGCAGAGATAATTCTGCAAAAATAAAATCAGCGATGCCAAGTGTTTGTTGAAGTACATAAATACATATTGTGGGACTGAAAATTGAAATGAGCACCAAGGCAGGTAAGAACTGTGTGCTTGTGCAGTACTGTGTGTTTGTAGGTACTAGATTGGCACTTGAGACTAATTCAGGGTATCCAGCTGTGGGGTCCTCAAGGTATGGATTTAAATAAGATGCTCTGAATTYTAAATGGGAGCAAACACACAGGGGAGGAAAAGGCTGTTATTGTTCAAGGATRAAGTGTCTATGGCTGTTCCCTCCTGTAGAAAATGAGATGAGAAAGCTGCCTGCTTTAATTCAGTCCTGTAAGCTTGAAAATACCTTTTGATCCAGGATTGCTGTGCCATCAGTTTGGGAGAAATCAAAATATAATACTTGGTATCTGTGTGCATCTTTGAACATTGTGGGTTTTTGCTTGCTGACAGGACTGACATGTTTGGGCTTGGCACAGCAGCTGCTTGGTGAATTCCATTTTCCAAATGCTGTTGTTGGAGCAGCCTGGCCTTARCTCTGAGTGTGTCTCCAGAGAATCTGTGCTCCTGATGATTTCCCATGTTTATGGTTTCAACTGTTGCCCAGAAATGTGGAAATAGCAAAAACTGAAGAAATGATGTGGAAAATAGTAAAATAACATTTGATTTCATGTAATGAACGCTGAATTTTGAGAATTAAAGTATCTTTCTCAGTGAGGGGTTGCCTTTTTGTTACGTGATTTAACAATCAGAAAAAAAAATTAAATAAGGTTCTGGAGTTTTTTTTACTTGGTGTTTGTCTTCAAGTGCAGGATGATTTTTTGTATTTCAGATATTTCTTTTGTGCTTGTCTGCAGATGATCCAACACAACCAGCTGATGTTTTCATTCATTCCAGGGAGAAGTCACATAAACAGAGGAACTTTGGTGGCTTTTCCTTTAAAAGCCCAGAGTTTTGCAGATGGCCTTTGTGCTTGGATTTTGTCATTTCCATTAGGCTTTCTGGCATCTTCCAGTATTTAGTTTCTCATGTTTGGGCTTAATCTATTTTAGGTTTTCCCAAGGGACTCAAAAGGCTGCTCGAAGATGAAACAATTAAAAAGGTTGGCGTAGGAATTGAGGGAGATCAATGGAAGCTGATGAGTGACTTTGAGATCAAACTGAAGAGCTTTGTGGAGCTGGCTGACGTTGCTAATGAGAAAGTAAAACTTAAAACCTTTTTGTTGTGGGAGGGAATCTTGTTATTGTGCTGTGCAAAAGGAGGCTTCCTTSTCTTGGTAGGAGTTCAATTTCTATAGCAAACGTGTCCTGTGGRATAAAGCAGAGATTTATTGTAGCTTGTTTAGAAACACCTCTCAAAACCTGCAAAAACTAAGTAATGTCTTTCAGTGAGCCAGTTTTTAATCAACATTTGTCCCCTTTCAGGTCTGTTCACTTTTAGTATTTACAAGATGTAGCTTTTTAATTCAGCTGCAAATGCTTTTTCCTTGAGGGATGGAAATGGCCAGATTATTCTGCTGGCAACAGTGTCATTGTCCCAGCAATGAATAAGCCTTATAAACAGGGTACAAGAAGGCAGCCTTGCTGCCATGGCTTGCTGGTGCTGCAGGGAGGCATCAAGGTCTTCCTTTAAGTCCTCCCTGCAGAGGTATCTCTGCCACACAATCTGGAGCTGTGGAAATATCTCGATTTCTGTGATTCTCAGGGTGGTGTCACCTCAGCTCTGGTGTGGGTGCAGTTTCTAGCACCTGGTGACCTGTTGTTTACAAGTTGTTCTGCATTTAGCACACCCTGAATTTCAGTTCTGTTTCAGAGATTGATGCTGTGCTGTTTTTTTAGGGRAGAGAGCCAAAGGTTCATTGCCTTGCAAATAATTCTTATTTCTAACATGTCCCTTAAAGCTTTTCTTTCTGTATGCACCAGGCTTTTCCTTACCTGTGCTTGGTCTCTCCACACATTTCTCATTCCTTCTGTGTTGCACCATCAGCATTGGGAACAGTGCTTTCCATAAGAGCCATTTTAGACTTTCACTTCCTGATGGATTTTAAATGATAAAAATTACCTGCTTTGCTCAAGCAGTGAAATGAGCTGTTACTRCTCAAATTTGGAGTTTCCTCAGTCACCCCCCTTTTTTTCATCCCCTAATTCAACTCAGGGTAATTTGTGATGAAGATGAGCSATGTGATCTCTGATAGCAGCTTAAAAGTCTTCTGCTAAAGAGAAAACAAACCAAAAATAAACTTGAAAGAGAATAAAAGGAGAGGATTATATATAATGGCACAATGGGAGGGGAAGGGCTGGGGGAACCTAAAAAGAACAGTTGGGAGGGTTTTTTGATAGCAGATTGAAGGCAATGAGCTGATAATGCTGCACTGCTGCTGTTCAGCTTCACACTTGTGCATATTTTCCAAGTAGGAATAGCAGCAGGCTGTGCCYGTGAGGATCCTTTTACTCTAAAGCAAAGTTTCCTAGACAGGCTCTTGAGACAATAGTGTGCAGCAATTGTGATTGSCAAAGGATTGCAAAAGTAGTGAAACAGCAGCGTGTTAGGGTGGCTTTTGGAGGCTTGGGATGAGCTGCTTTCAGCACCCAGAATAGTGCTTAGTGTGGGCTATGGCTTTGCTCTTCTGCTTTGTGCCTGACTTCAGCCTTACAAAACATGTCCAACACTCACAGGCAGGCTTTAATATTCCTCTGTTTTTATTAARTAAACCCCTGGTGTTTGATATTGAGTTTTTCTAATTAGAAAGGCAAATAACAGAAAAATCCTGGAGGAGAGAGGGGGTGCTGTTTAAGTTGAGGGTTTTTATTTTATCAACCCAGAGGTTGYTTTGTACAGATACTTTGTATTTTTGATAGCGTGACAGCACTGAGAAGAGTTACTGCTTTGAAAAACTAATTATGTTTTGACTAACCCAGAACTCTTCGCTTCTAACAAGGGATTGAGTGCTCTTTCTGGGAGGGTGCAGGTGCTTTTCCTTTTAAACAAATCCTCTGMTTTTGGTGTTYTGTTTGGTTTTTCTTTCCCCAGCTCAAGTGTAAGGAGACGTGGAGTCTGAATGGTCTGGTGAAGCACCTTTTTGGCAGGCAGCTKTTGAAGGATCARTCTGTCCGCTGCAGCAACTGGGAAGAGTTTCCACTCAACGAGGAGCAGAAGCTCTATGCAGCCACAGATGCCTATGTATGTACCACAGGGATCACCATTCCAACCTCTGGGAATAAATCCCTTYTCCAGTGTGCTCTTAGCTGGTTGTTTCTTTATTCCCTTGTCTGCACATGTTTCCTGTAGCTTGTTACCATTTTCGGTTTGGTTTCCTTCTGCTTTTGTCATCTTTCTTATCTGCTGATGAGCCAAAATCCTGTTAGATACAGTATGTGAGCTGAAATTCAAAGGCAACTTAGAAAAACACAACTTTCTGTGATGTCTAATGCAGGAGAACCACAATATGGATTATCAAGAACAGTTCAGTTGCATATGAGTTTTGTGGCTCTCTAGAAGTCCCTATTTTTTCATTATTTTGTATGAAGTTTGGTTTATCTCAGTTCTGTGAAGTGTTTTGCCTATATGCTGCCGGGTGCCACCTGCTTGCTGGGAGAAAATCATTCCTTATGGCAGGAAAAATAATCCCTTCAGTCTCTTATATCTATGCTTAGAGGAAGGGAAGTGGGACAGTGGTTTCTTTTCTGACTTKTAGTTTACTTAAGAGTTTAACTGTGGAGGGTTTAGCACCTGCAAAGACCCAAAMCAGTGAGGAAAAGATTTTAAATTTTTTTTGTGCCTGGTTCAGCTGTTCAGGCTGAACAATGCATCTTTTTTTAGACAATGCATCTTTCCAACTATGCTCTGTTCACCTGGCCTGCCCCTTGGAGCCTCCCAGGAAAACATGAGGGAGTAACTTGTTTCTTTTTTCAACACGTGTAGCCTAATTAGCACATTGCTGGCTTCAGGCTGTATTTTTCTGTTAGAACTCATTATTCATACCAAGGGAAATACTAAACACACCGAATCCATCTTGGTAGGTTTGTAGCTCTTCTCCTGGAGCACGGCATGAAATGTGAATGAGATGAGCAGATGGTGGGATGGGGAGCTGAGTACAGGGAGCTTTCTGTGTGCAGTGAGCTTGCTGAGATCAACCACTGTGGGATCTGTGTAAAGTATCCATTCCAAAGKGAGTCCCAAGTCAGCATTTGGCCTTTAGTGCAGCATTCTGGAACGTGTAACCTGGTCCTGATAGGCAGTTTAGTCAGGGTAGTGGTGTGAGCCATATTCCATTTTGGAATTTTGCTGGTCACTGTGTATTGGTGCCATGCTTTGCCTGATTAACACCTCATTAATTTTTTTATTCTTGTTGTTTTTTCTCTGTGGAGTACTGAGTACTAATTATTCCCTTTCTCTCCTAGGCTGGCTACATTGTTTATGAAAAACTGAAAAAGATGAATAACAGTGACCGTAAATTATTTAATGTAAGGAAAGGTAAGTTGTCCATCCAAGCTTAAGGAACTTGTTCAATGTACAATTGCATATTCCATTTCCCAACAGGTTCTTTTTTACAGTATCAGGACTGTTTGGCTTCTTGGTGATGAGAGGTCACTTGCAGAAGGAGTAGATAGTATAAACCCTTGGATGCCCAGGGTAACCATACTCTGTGACTGTTTTCCACAAAAGGCAGGATGATGTTTGTTTGTGTTTGTCTCTGCTGTACACAGAGATGGGAAGCATYCCTGCTGTCATTCTGCTTTGTTTATGAAAACACTTCAGTGAGTTAATTTCAGTGCTGCTGGTGCAGGGACAAATACCTAATCTAAGATGAAATAAAGCCACAAACCAAACCATGTTAGGAAGTAATCATTTTATTGAGGCATAGAAATAGGACCTAAATGTTTTAGAGCAGCTTAACATTATTTACTTCATCGAGGTGATTTTAACATCTTGGTTTTGTTCAGTTCTGTGTTTCACAAAGAAGATACTGCAGGTAGCTTAAGATTGAAAAAGAGGTAGTGAGGTGTTTGTTTCCTTTTTGTTTTCGCTGAACTTGACTTTTCTGTCAAAGGCAGAAGTGGCAATGCTGTCCCCTTGATACGAGGTGCAGGTTTAGTCAGCATGTCTGTGTTAGCAGCTCTTTGCTGGAGCTGGAGGGAAGCAGGGAGGGATCACTTTGTAGTGGTTCTGTTGTGTACCTGTTTTCCCTGAGCGTGTGTAATGGAAGAGATGCAGTGCTGAACTATGCAGAAGCTTGGCCTGATTCCCTGTGCTTGACCTTTAAGCCCTGGAAAAAGCTGCCTTACCAGCTGTAGATCCTGTAGGAATTCAGTTGCAGGAATGTGAGTTATTTGTGGATGTTATTACCAAATAACCAATTGTTACACTTGTTACAGATGCCACCTCTGAGGGTGTGAAGGAGCGTTTGACTTCACTGGCTGAAGAGATAACAGACCTGGCTTCTCATATCCCTGACTCTTCTGGACAACARGAAAACTTCCAGAGGTCAGCTTTTACACTTGTCTCTGTCTTCAAGATCAGTGTTTTGCTTTTGATATCTGAGGTCCCACACAACAAAATACACATGCACTAACAGATATCTGTAATTTATCTGTTATTTTCCAAGAATTTTTTTTTTTACTATGTAGGAGTGTGTTTTCACTGGTCTAATTGCAATTTGAYACTGAACTTGTCTGTCTTTGGTTCTAGAGTGTAGTAACTGCCTCTATAATTTTGTTTTACCTTCCTTGATTTGCATTCTAGGGCTTCAGAAATCCTAGCTGAGATATCAGAGAACATCAATGCCTTAAAAACCACACTGCTGGGCTCAGGTTGCCCTTCTGGGTTGGAGAGAAGCTGTGGTGCAACTCCAACACATTTTGAAGTCAAGTCAGCAARTGTGGGAGCACAAAAAGCAGAATGTGCTGAACAGCCTGAAGGTGACCTCAACATCTGCTCTGATTCTACACTGGCTGCCCTCTGGGAGGGAGAAGGGAGTGGAGAGGAGGCACAGAGAGGTAACACAGCTCTGGGAAATGGGGCTCCAGCAGCCAGATTTACAGACAAAGAGGACCGAAATGACTTCATGTCCCTGGACATTACTGAGCAAGAGCTTCAGGTCTTGGAACGTGAGGCTGAAAAGGARTTGGTCAATGAAGCTGTTCCCGAGGTAATGAGAACTTGTTAAGTTCTATTTCTTTCAGATATCTTATTTTTAACACACAGGCCTCAGACTGAGTGATGAGCTTAACTATTTTTGGTAAGAAGTTAAAGCATACAGAGAAATGGCTTACAGTAGGTACAGAAGGTTGTAARGTTGTGGGTAAATAGAAATTACTTTGCTGCTATGAGAATTGTGTTGATTTTGTAGGAGGCGTGTTCCACAGACAATGAACAAAATGTTTCCTGTGTCATTGAGAGCGATGAAGAGCTGGAAATGGAGATGCTGAAAGTGAGTGCCTCAGGGTTTATTTTTCAATTTTTTTCCTAATGATGCTGCTCTGGGATCACAGTGGAGTGGAGCACAGTTAAGGGGAGGGAATGTGAAGCAAAACAGTGCTGCTTACAGAATATGGTCAGAATAAACATATGGATACTTAAAGAATTCAATTTGCTGATGTTAGACTGGAGTGTCATTTGCATCATGTGGCATCTTTACTATACCAGCCTGGGCCTGATCAACCCACTGGATTTAAGATGTTATAACTAGATAAAAACTTGYATATTCCCATGTCACATTACCTCACATAGGCATTTTATCTACCCTTTCATGCTCCAAAATAACTTCTTCCTCTTAATTTCTCAGTCTCTGGAAGATGTAGATGATTGTGAAGGAGTTTTACCTGAAGGAGAGTCCAATAATGCCAGGAAAACTCCTGACACAGAAGTTGATATAACACCAGATGGTGATGAAGATGAAGGCATTGAAGAAGAAGAGGAATATTTTGGTATGTTTTTACCTTCAAATTTTAGTGGATGRTGAAATAAATATTAAAAAATCACTCTCTGTAGAAGCAGCTGTGGAAGTACAGTGAGTTCTAGTGGTTGGTTTCTAAAACAGGAAGATAAATCTCACCTGGGTTTCCAAGGGAGATCTTGGACTGTGTTGAAATGAAAATAGAAAGGTGTGCCTGGCAAAAAAGAGTGAAGTTCTGCCATTATCAGCAGCTGTCTGCTTAATGGGGCTAAAACGGGTGTGGGGTGTGGAGGCCCTGCAGAGCTGAGGGGACCTGAACACAGCAGGGGAAGGTGACACCTCCCCTGTCTGCCTTTGTTCTTCTCCTACTGCTGCTTCATGACAGAATTCCTAAATTCTGCCTTGGGATTGATTTTCATCTGTTTTGGGGTTGTCCCTGTGGAGACAAATCAAATGGGGGAAGAAAGCTGAAACGTGAGGAGAAACACACCTTGACTTGTTTGGATGAACCTGCTCCAAATGATGCAGTTATGCATTACAGTCCTGATGCTTTATCTCATTAATCAAGCCATATGTTCTCCTCCTCGTGCAGGGTCTCTSAGGAGCCTCTTTGCTTTTTTAATCCTTCATTCTCACCTGAAAATATCTTGAGTTTGATGTCTCTGTTTTCACAGGAATAGCCCAAATTCTAACCCCTGGGCATCACCAACTGTAAGCAGACTGTTGTTTGCAGAGACAGTGCTTTATCTTTTTAAAATTTAATCCCAAATGAGTGTTCTCTCTCCCACTAAAGATCCACTGCTGCCAGAACCTGGAGAAAGCCACATCACGTGTCTGAAGACCTATTTTGGGCACTCTTCATTTAAACCGTGAGTGTATTTTCTGTTAAAATGGACACTCCAGAGTGTGTTTTGTTGCCCTTCTTTCAACCTGGATAATGTTTTTTATTGCTACTTACTTGAAAAAAAATACAGACAAACACATCTAGGTCTTGTTTGCAGTCTCTTGTGTTGAAGAAAACTGATCCACAAACACTCTGAAAACTCAGTTATTATTTGTGATGTTTTGTGAATGTCTGCATCAAGTGCTGCTTGCCTGAGACCTGTTAGAGATCCCCACTTTGGCACTGATGGCCCTGCAGGCAGTACTTGGAGTGTCTGAGTGCTTGCAGTGTGCAAAGACAACACTCCAAGCAGCCTCAAGGGTCCCTTTAACCCACAATTCTACAGAATATGCAGTTTCATACAATTTACTCGTTAGCTGTGGTGGCAAAAATCAAGTATTCCCCTTTGTTTAATTTAAAGGGTCCAGTGGAAAGTGATCAATTCTCTTTTAGAAGACAGAAGAGATAATCTTGTTGTCATGGCAACTGGTAAGCTACCGTTGCATCCTAAGAAACAGCAAAAAGTCATTCCCTTTTTGGGGGGAGAGTAGTAAAACAAACATGATTTGGTTTTTTGGGCTCCCCAAGATGTTAATATTGTCTGTCATAGCTGCATAGAAAGCACAATGTCTCACTTGTGCATTTTTTTCCTCTCAGGCTATGGAAAAAGCTTATGCTACCAGTTTCCTCCTGTGTACACTGGACACACAGGAGTTGTCATCTGCCCTCTTATYTCCCTGATGGAGGACCAGGTGCTGCAGTTGACGTAAGTGACAGGCTGCTGCTGTAATCCCCRTGGGTTCCCATGGGTTCTGCCTGTGCCATTTCTGGCTGTTTCATGGTGCAGGCTGTTTGTGTGTCAGCTGCAGAGCATTTCTTTCTCAGGGGAGCACACACAGCCTGTGTCAGCAGTCTCACATCACTGGGTTTACCACGTAGGTGAGGTTGTAAAGGGTTGCTGCTGGTGAGAGGTTTCTCAAGGCACTTATTTCTGGATTCACAGGTTTTTTTCTGTCCAGACCAAAGTGATGGGGGAGCTGTTTGAGGCTGTGAGAGGTGTGTCAAAGTTTGCTAGGGCTTCCTTTGGCTGTGAGAAGTGACATCTGAGCCAAGTACAGCTGGAAGCTGTAGGCAATGCAGATCAAAGTTACAGCACAGATTTTCAAGAGGGACAGTGCAGTAGGTCTCCCAACACCTGGCCTCCTCACTTCCTGAGAGATCTGAGGGGGAAACTTGTGGGTGACACCAAATCACTCTGACATGAGCAGTTACAGRTGTTGTCAAGATAAATCTCTTTGATTTTTAGTACCTGATAATGCTTTCCCTACATGGGCTTGCTTCCTATTGTAAGAGCTATTCACTTCTGACACTTTTGCGCTGAAGCTGTGGGAACCACGCTGAGTTGTCTAGTTCATTCCTGCCTTGTCTGACTTGGGAAGAACGGGTCTTTTGTGCCAGAGGGGATATGAAGATGTTTTGAAGTGAAGAACATCAATTATGTGTGGCATTTTCTGCTGCACGTGCGTGCASATGAATGGCTGGACAGCCTAAGCTCCTCAACTGTTACTCTGCAGGGTGTCTGTGTTCATTTGCTGCTTTGACTTTTGCACTGTTTTCCTCAGTGGAAGGGGTTTATTCACTCCYTCCCCAGTGGGTCATTCATTTTGAAGGCTGAGGAGCCTGAATTTCTACAAAGTACAGCAGTTTGTCTGTCAGTCTGGCTGCAGTTTGGACCGAGCAGCTGCGGAAACCAAAAGCTCTGAGGTTGTGCACTAAATCACCAAGTTAAAGATAGAATATTAATTAATTGAGCTGGTAATTATTATGTCATTAAAAAGCAGCCCCCTGGTTTGAAATTAGCAGATGCAGTAYCAGTAGCTCACAGAAGACTGAACAAGGTAAAAAAAAATGGTGGGCTAGCAAGGCTTTCAGCCAAATGTGAGGAACTGCAGCAGTGAATAGTTCAAGAAAATACATTTAGCATATTGTTCTGGATGTTTTATTTGTGAACTTGGCTCCTGTGCAAGGAAAATGGTCTTCCTTTCTCTGATTCCTAATTGTACCAGTCCAGTGTGTGTCTTCTGGGAACAGCTGGAGGGAAAGTGGAAGAGCATTTGGGTGGCAGGAAGAGCCATGTACCACTCTTGCTTTTTCAAAAGGTATTTCTTCCACATGAAGATCCTTGAAGAAAGCAGTCTCTGACCTCACAGCTTGAACTTCTTYAGAAATGCTGGCACAGGCTGGAAGCTGAAGCTTGGAGAGGGAGTCTGTTCATGACTGTGCTTTTTTATTTCTGCAGAATGACAGGGATTCCAGCTTGCTTCCTTGGTTCAGCTCAGTCAAAACAGGTCAAGGATTCCATCAGAGGGTGAGTTTTAGCCAAGCTTTTTGATATTCTGGGCTGTGATACAGGACTGCTAGAGGGGTAGSATGTCTCCCTGTGCTGAAATTGCTGATTGTGGCCCAGCCCTGTAACTTTGCACTTGGRATATTGTTTGTATTCACCCAGGSTGAGAGTATGGGAGTCTACAGCCWCTGTCCTGGGGGGGTGGGGAGATGRGGCTTGTTGACTCAGCTGTGTTCTGTATATGTTATACCTGATTTTAGTCAGGTTTTATACCCATATCTGTCATCAACGCAACAGTCCCTTCTTATTCTAAAAACCAGCAAATCTGTTTTTCTTTTTCCTGTAATGCCTTGCTTTCCTGTTGTTCTGGAATGTTCACTGTGGTCACTGAAGTCTTCTTGTTCTGTATCAGAAATTGGTTCTTGTTCTCATACTGGTTTTCAATACAATCTTGACTTTATTGAATTTAGGTGTCTGGGTTTTTCTCATCTGTGACAGTGTATTTTTTTGGTCTTTCAGGGGTCAGTACAGAGTCATATACATGACTCCAGAGTTTTGTTCAGGGAATTTAGAATTACTTCAGGATCTTGACCGAACTGTTGGTAAGTTGGGGATAATATTGTGGGCAAATTGCCAGACAGCTTAAATTGACAATTATGTTTAAACCTTTTTGATAATTGAAGACTTTTCACCCATTTCTTGATGACAGTAGTGACACCATTTATTCCCATTCATCACACAAGATCCTGTCATTGATGAGAAAAGTCATACGTGTTAGAGACAATCAGGCTTTGTGTTACAATCCAGAAAACACAAAAAATGACATCTGTAATGGKTATTTGTGACTGTGATTGAGAAGCAGTGGGTGGAAAAAGATCCTGTTGGAACTAGCTTGAGATTTTGATCCACGTGAGGGATGTTGGATGTCTGGAGCTTGAATTATGGTGGGAGGAGAATGTAAAAGCTCTTGGGCCTTTTTTATGAAAGGAGATTTAAAGTTGGTGTAGCAGCAAACATTTGAGGAGCAAAAACTAAAGCCCTGCTGGTGATTTCTCAGGAAAGTGTGAATTTGTCTGTGCTGTGGTTTTGTGTCCCCCAGGTATCACCCTCATCGCTGTGGATGAAGCTCACTGCATCTCTGAGTGGGGCCACGACTTCAGGAACTCCTTCAGAAGTTTAGGCTTGCTAAAGAAGACTCTGCCATCGGTGAGGTTTGGATATGTTGGGTTTCTGATACAAGAAAACAGTTTGGAAATATCAGTTTCTTGATGTTGTGCTCTGGATGTACTGACCGTGCTGGTTCAGAGTTGGAGCAGTCCCTGTCAGTAATTGGGTTTTGGAGTTTTTTCAAATGCTTAAACAAGGGATGTTCTGATCTTAGATTAACAGAAACTTAAGAAATTTAAACTTCCTTGGATCTCTGTGCTGTGTAAGATGATGTTCCTAAGCTTCTGGTTTAATATTGAGGGATTTTGTTTTACTTAACTGAGTGGCTTGTGGGACCATGCTACTGATTTTCCTCAGGCCCTTACTGCATAAGTTCAAAAACTTAGGCCTRAACTTCCCATGCTTTTATTGGAAGTTTCATATGTCCCCTAAATTTAGCTAATCACATCAGCAAATTATTGTGGATTTGTTGAAGAGGCACACATTCAGAATAAAACTTTATATTTCAARGTTTCTGTCCCTRTCTGCTTTCTCAAGAACTCAAGATSACTATTAACTGTATTTTTCAAATGACAGAACTTACAATGATAAACACATTCAAGTGCTTGTTCACATTCCGTATCAGTTGACTCTTGAGGTTTTTGGTTTAAAAAAAAAATCATTGAGAGGTCATGGATGTTATTGGACTTCTCATTTCAGGTCCCCATTATTGCTTTAACTGCAACTGCGAGTCCGTCGATTAGAGAGGACATAGTGAGGTGTCTGAACCTGAGGAATCCCCAGATCACCTGCACTAGTTTTGACAGACCTAACCTGTACCTGGAAGTTGGACAACAAAGTGGAGACATCTGTAGGGATTTGAAGCAGTTCCTAAYTAGGAAAGGAAGGTAAGGATTTAAGCCTGGGTTTGATTGTTCCCTCAGATGTAGTTTTTTACAGGCAGGTGGCTTTTTTTGTTCTGTATCTTTACATGTTGTTGTTGTTGTTACTTTAAGCAGTTCTGTGTATGAGTTTGAAGGCCCCACTATYATCTACTGCCCTACAAGAAAGGCCACTGAGCAGGTGGTGTCTGTACTGAATAAACTCAGCGTGGCCTGTGGTACCTACCATGCTGGCATGGGGAACAAAGAGAGGAGAGACACCCACCACCAATTYATGAGGGATGAAATTCAGGTATGCAGTAGACAAAATTCTCTTGGTTCTAGTTAGAAWTGCAGAGTTTTYGGTAGAAGAAAAYTTTGGAATATCAAGCTGTGTTAACSWTGTCCTCTGTCTGCAATTCTGGGCAAAAAAATTGCTGGTCTGTGTTGACAGGAATAAGATTCCTGGCTAATCTTTCAAATTTCTGTAGTAATTCCCTTAAAAATGCATGCTATCCAAGGAAAATGGTGGGAGCTGGAACATGATCACAGCTTCTATGAGCTGCTTCTTTCCTAGGCAGGAGAGATATTCTGGGACTACTTGTGTTTGTTTGGTGCCTGTTGAGAACAGCTACCTGAAAACACTTCTACATTTGCCACAGCACATCATCCCTCTCATGTTTATAATCCTATGACTGTGCTCTGGCCAAACTCAGCACTGTGGGTCTGAAGTTGTTGTCATTCAGGCTGAATTTTGGGTGTGTAGCAGCAAATTCACAGCAAGTSTGTGAGCATTATTCTTTGGSATATTCTTTGGGATCACTTTAAGCACGTGGCTCSTGTTTTGCAGTGCGTTGTGGCCACGGTGGCGTTTGGGATGGGCATCAACAAGGCRGATATCCGGCTGGTGATCCACTACGGAGCCCCAAAGGAGATGGAATCCTATTACCAGGAAATGGGGAGAGCTGGGCGTGACGGGCTCCCTGCTGCCTGCTATGTSCTCTGGACTGCCACAGACTTGGCCTGTAACAGGTGAAGCTCTGGGTGATGGCTTAGGATTTTTCGTTTCTGTATTTTCATGCATCTGTATTCTTGTACTTCTCTAGTACAGCGCTAAAAACTACCATTTTCTCATCTTTAGACAAAACAATCCCTCTCTGAGCCTGAATCCAAGGACACCCCACTGCCTCAGAGCTCAAAAATATGTAAACAACAGCAAGTTGGGGGGGAGCAAGTTGGGGGTGATTGACATCATCACCTGTAAAGATCATTGGAGAATTAAGACCCAATATGTTAATAAGGCAGAACTTATAAAAGGGGAAGATCTCGTGACCCGGTGTCCATTTTGGGTGTAGCCTCAGGAGGAGGCTTTTGTCTGCCCTAATGTACCAATAGGCCTGTTAGGCCTGGATTAAAGTTGTATATTCTCATTCTCTTAAGTTTGTCTGGCCTCTGTTTCAGATCAGCCTGATTGATAAGGCATCATGGGGACAGCCCTTTTCCCCCTCCTCAGGGCCTTTTGCCATTGATCTCTACATTTCAGTAGCCTGTGGGCTTGGAAGAACCTCTCTCTCTTCCCTTCTACCCTCCTTGGGATAATGTTTAGAAGAATATGAATAAATGTTCTCCTGAGTATGCCCCATGCTCTGAGGATCAAGGTAGTGGAGAAGCAGACAGGCAGCTTGGGTCTGGTTTTAGTAGGATATTTTCCTAGCTCTTCCTGCTGAGTTAGAGAGCATTGTCTGGCATGTTTCAGTTTTGCTGTGGGACAGGGAAATAGTGGTCAGTATTTAAAACTCTGCTTTTTTTGCTCCTGTCTGACAGACGCCTCCTGAACGAGATACGCAACGACAAGTTCCGGCTGTACAAGCTGAAGATGTTGGCAAAGATGGAGAAGTACCTGGTGTCCAAGAGCTGCAGGAGGAAGTGAGTGCTGGGACCTGTTTAGTGCTGTGTCACTGCTGGCAGCTTTGATAAGAGCTGCTGTGACTTGGTCACAGCTGGGGGTTGGARCCAGGAGGCATCTTGGACTCATGAAGTGTTCTAAAAGCACTGAATATTCTATTCTGTATTAATAAGCAGTATCAAAAGTACAACCTTCAGCAGATCAAGTGTTTCCTTATTTGCTTTTTTTTTTAAAAAAGGACTATTTTCTGTAGAGGAATCAAAGCTAAATAATTGGTTCCCCAATGAATCCATTAATTATGCTGATTTCAACTCAATTTTCTGCAGTAAATTTCATGTGTAAATTCTTGGTCATTTATTGAATTCTTTTCATTCTCTTGGGTAGAATCATCCTTTCTCATTTTGAAGACAGACAACTCCGAAAGGTTTCCTCTGGCATCATGGGCACAGAAGAATGCTGTGATAATTGCAGGTCCAGGTAAGTTTTCTTCCCTAAAGGCTGATCCTACAGGTTATGTTATCTCAGACTGACTGACAAGGCAAGTTATTTAAAAGAACTGAGTTTCATGCATCTGGTCTTGCAGCTGTTCAGCCTGAGGTTTATTTTTGAACAGCTCTCTAACCYTTTTTTAATGAGTTGAGCAAGCCGTGATAACCTCTAAATTAGGCTGTGGGAAAGCCTGGGAGCAGAGCAGGATCACWGTTCCTAAAGTGTATTTAGAACAATACACTGAAACTGCAAAATACAYTCTTGTTCATCAGTTTAAGCCCTGTTAGGTAATTAATCCCAAAAGACAACACTTACAAATGGTGTGTGGTAGCAGGTGTCTAAGGCTAAATTGCCCCAGTGTCCAGGGAGCTGTTGTCCTGTGCTGACATGTGCTCTTTTAACCGTGCTAATAATCTCATGGATGTGCTGAGGGGGCCTCAGGGAGCTGATACTCACAGAGGGATGAGCAGAAACACCTTCTCAGATTTTCCTGTAGTTGTTACAAAGCTTTTCCTGAAGTTATAGGAAAGGATCTCATGGTTCTGCTGCAGCCTAACGCTTTGTGATCCCAGGCAAGATGTGAGGTTGTGTTGCTTTCTGGAGAAGTGTTACCAGTTCAGCCACGTTTCTGCTTGTCAAGGATTAGGAAATCTTCACCTGGCCTCTACTAAGTAAAGAAAGAATTMAAATGATCATTTCCCTCTTTGCAGTCACCTCGCTGTGCCAATAAAGAGCCAGGTAGTGAATTTGTATTGCAGAACTGAAATAGTTTGAAATAGATAATTTTCCTTTTTCTCCTTAGCAGTAGTTTGTGCCAGAAATTTTTCAATGGGTTCCTTCAGTCAGTAAAAATGCATTAAGAARCCTTACATACCCTTTAATAGGGTTGTTCTTTAGTCCTGTTTTTCATTCTTCCTTTATGTTCTTAGAGAAACAGACCAAAGCTTTTAACTRCAATTAAAGAAATGTGGTTGCCCAAACCAGCCAAAATACTTAATTCAGAAGGTTTCTGAGACAATGTTCTGTAACAGCAGGTGTTGTGGAGAACTTATTGTTGGGTTGAGCAGTTGTCTGAAAAGTTACATTGATAGAAATATAAACGTATCTTTGAAGTTACATTGATAAATAATTAAATATGTTTAAATGTATAGAACTAGGACTGAAATTAGAGCTAAGTGCAAGTCAATCACTTGTGGTTATTTAATTTAATTATTTCATTAATCGCTGGGTTGCCAATCTTTGGAACAAGGGAGAGGGGACTTGATTTGTTTGTGTTGAACTTGGCTTCCTTTGTGCCTTTCAGAGGCTCCTGCCCTGCAGTCCCCAGTGATTTCAAAGGTGGTTTGCAGGACTTTGGGAAGCAAGCGTTCCAGCTGCTGTCTGCAGTGAGTGCTCTGGATGAGAAGTTTGGGACCAAAATGCCAATTCTGCTTCTTCGAGGGTCTGTAAGTGATGGTCCAACCCGTTGTGTGTGTTCTGAGGGGAGGGGTGTTACAGATCAGTCAATAYTTGGATGTACATTCGTGTCAATGTGTGATACCATTTTTCTTGGAGAGATGGATATTTCTGTAGAGAGGTGGTCTTGATCAAGCAACATACAACAAGCAAGATGATTGTCCTTTAGTTTTTTATAAAAATGCATAATTTTGATTATCTTGAAAGAAACAGCTTTTTCAGAATGAAGGATAAACATCTTGGCTTAATAAATAGCTTGCTTATATTTGAATAAAGCCAATGATGGATTCCACTGTAGCATTGTGTTGCTGGTTGACTTGGGGTAATGAAGTGGGAAGTAGAGTACTAGAATGAATATGAGTTGTTTCTATACACCTCTCATTTTAATTGGTTTGAAATACTAAGCAAGAAATTCACTGGAAATAAAATTAGAATAGGAASAAAATCACTTTTTATGTTTACAAACTGAGGAGAAAAAGAATGGCCTGTGATACTTGATAAAACTGGGTGAATTATGTCCCTGGTTTGACCTTTTAATGAAGTTACATTGCTGATTGTTACACAAGTGTATCTAGGGAGAAATGATCTTGTCACAGCCAGGAAGTGGATTAGGATTGGAATAGGTTASAGGAGGCTCMTGGGTTTTTGGTTTACTGGTTGTATTTGAAGCTTTCTTCCACAAAGACTGGATAAATCTGAGATTCTTTCAAAAATTCCAGGGCTCTCAACGCGTGCCAAGCTGGTGCCAGAGGCACCCTCTCTTTGGCAGTGGAAAAGAGTGGCCAGAGAACTGGTGGAAACTGCTCTGCCAGCAGCTGATAATGGAAGGGTTCCTCAAAGAAATCCCAGGGCGTAACCACAAGTATGCAACCATTTGTGTGCTCACCCAGAAGGTACTTTAGGTTGTGAAATGACCCACTGAGAGCTGCTTCTGAGTAATCCATAGCTAAGCMATGTGGTTTATTCCTTACAGGGTAGGAATTGGCTGTCGAAAGCTGCCTCTGACTCCAATCCAAGTCTKCTGTTACAGTCCAGTGAAGACCTGAACCTGGAGAGAACTTCTACAAGGTAATTGTGTTCTCTTGAASTCTTCTTTACTAACCTCAGATCTGACTCTGAAACCTGCTTTTGGAGATGGCAGTGTTGAACAGAGGAGGCTTTGAGATTCTCAGTGTTCTGGGTTTTTTTCATGAAGAACRGTGATTCTAATAATTAATCAATAAMTTGGTTTGCCAGATACATCCCTGTACCAACTTGCAATCAGTTTTTTTAGCAAAATGTTATTTTTTCAAGGGCAGTGTCACTATACAGTGGAATTAAGATATAATTAATTCCATTACAGCAGCAGACCTTCGCCTGTCCACTCCAGGCAGCGCTCCCCAGGCACAAAAGGAACAACACAGTCACCAGTCAAGCAGGTCTGTASCACTGCAACCCTGCTGCAGTGTGATCCATCCTTGCTCATATTAAAAAAAAMAACTTGCAAACATATCACAAATTAATATTTTGTTAACAGCAAACTTGGTGAAAAGATGATAAATCAATATTTGTCTTGTTATTCTGGGTTTTTTTTTTGTAGATATCTCTATATGAGATGTTTGCCTATGACAGAAAAGGTAAAACTCCTCCAAGAAGTTCTAACATGCTTAACAGGTACAGTATTTGAAATGAAAACAGAATGACCTAATTCTAACCATGTTAATGGGGATACTGCTGGTAGGGTGGTCCTTAAAATGAGCATTTTCCTGTGAAATGGGTGTGGAAGTGTKTAATGCATTAAAAAAGGACAAGTGCCTTGTTTAATKCATTWAARAAGGACAAGTGCACAAAGTTGCTGTGTTCAGCATTATATTTCAAAATACATTGTATTTACAAGTTTTAACAGTTAAAATCAGGGAGTGTGGAGAGCTCTGCCTTTCCACACCGGTCTGGAGAAGAGTGAGACCAAGCTGAGGCTCCCTCAGGTCAAAAGAAATCAAATAACTGCTTGCAAAAAGCARACCAAGTAATTTGTTTTCCTGGCTGATGGGCTGCTTCTGATTAAATGCAGCTTGTATTTCTGAGTGGATTCCTCCTTCAGGCCACCATTCTGGTGCTGGCAGATGACAGGAACCAAGACTGTGTCACTTAGGGCAATAGTTGCCACTGCAGCCATGTGAAAATAAATTATTTCAGGGACAGTTAAAATCCAAATCAAGTTATTTTGCAATGTGCTTGGAAAAGGAGACTCTTAGTTTAGCTTGTCTGCTAACAGATAGTGCAGTGTAATCATGGCAGTYCAATTGAGGGTGTCCTTGTGTTCATGAGCCCATGGCTGGGAGCTGTGCTAATTCTACTCACAGCAGCTCTGTCCCTGGCTCTGATGATTTTCAGGTTATTGGTGCTGTTTGCAAGAATTCATGTTCTCAGCCACAAGGAGGGCATCAGAATTGATGTCATGAGTGGACAAGTGATTGTTAGAGCTTATTTTTGTTATATGGGAATCCAGYTCTTCAGAGTTGTTGGTGGGTTGGGTTTTTTCCCCCCAAGCTCCCACAGACGTTATTTCATTTGCTCAAGCTCTGTACAGTAAGAGCCTGTTCTAAAGTTACAGGATGAGAACAGAGAATCTGTGCCATTAGGTATTCTGCTGGTTCTACCCCAACCAGCTCCAGTCCTGTCTGGGTGCAGAGYTGGCATGAGGTGCTGTCAGAGCTGGCAAAAGAAGTTAGGCTGCTGCTCTCCCACAGCCTTGAACCAAGTTCCTGAGTGAACTGATCTGGTGCAGGGCTTGCTTCACCCTTGATTTCTGTGGTAGTGTTCCAGGGCGCTCACCATTGAAGTCTCCTTTGAAGCCYCAAGAACCAGGTGTTTCAGCCCAAGAAAAAGAACTGGAGGTAAGCTTTTCTGGGATAGGGAGTACATCTCTGAATTGCAGTCATCCTGCAAACCACAGTCCTGTGTTTGGAGCAGCTGGTTTGGACAGCTCTTAAAATTACTGAGTTGTTTTGAATAGAAGGCTCAGAATAGGTTTGAATACACTGGGGGGATTAATGGATTACAGGATTTTTGTGTATTATTGGAAAGATCAGGGAAGTGATAACCTTTCCTCTTGTGATAATGATACCTATGAGTGATGCAGAGCTGCTTGATGAGACTTTGGCTCCTTGCTTCCCAGACTGCTCTGTATGGCAAGCTGCTGACTGCTAGACAGAAGGTAGCTAATGAGAAGGAAATTCCTCCAGCTGTCTTGGCAACCAATAAGATCCTGGTGGAGATGGCCCAGATAAGGTAAAGCCAGCATGCAAACATGTTGTACAAACTGGGGAGGTTGCAAGCCAAGTCACAAAATCGTTTCCTTTGTCTGTTGGGAGGGTGGGGCAGCTCAGCTGGTGAAGCATCTCAAATGCCTCCACCAGCTACTAAAAGTCATTGGACAGCAATATTTTGGGAATGTGTATGTTGTTGCATTCTCCATCCTAAACCAGGCCTACGAGCATTGAGATCCTGAAGAAGATTGATGGTGTATCTGAAGCCAAGTCCACCATGTTGATGCCTCTTCTGTCTGAAATTAAGGATTTCTGCCAAGCAAATGGTTTGCAGGTAAGATGTACTYAAGTGACTCCTCCTTGGCCAGAGTCTTAAGGATGAGATTTGTCCTGCAGCTGTTGGACTCCATGGAGTCGTCTTTGTGTTTCACAAAATAATACCATCATCTAGGAATGGGAGTCAAAAGCATTCCTAGATTTTTAGTTCTTTTCACGGAGTCTGTGTTGAGAAAGTTTAGCTCAAATGGGTGAGTTTCCCATGCAGACTGAATGCCACAGTTTGTTCTGATGGAACAGTTTCGTATGGAATGAAGAATACCTAAGATGATGTGTTGGCCTGAGCACTTTTCTCTTCTGGCTGTTTTTAAGAAGATGGGAATATGTGGGTGTCCATCTGGATTCCCTCCTTGCTTTGTCTTTTTTTTTTTTTTTTAAAGAACATGGAGCTGAAGTCAAAATCGATCTCCAGAGAAATGAATGTTTATCAGAATGTTATTTCTTCAGACAACTTCAGATAGTGGAAGGGTGACCCATGGGTTGTCACTGGGATACAATGAATTTATTTCTGTTTTATCTCACTTAGACCGACATATTCCGCACATCTGAATGTAAGGTTCAGAAAGAAGCATCTCCCTGGAAGTCTGCTAGAGCCCTTTCTCGCTCAGAGGAYGTCACATATATCCTGTTCCAAGAGAAGAATCTCTCTCTGGTAAGCTCTTGCCTGTGGAGGATTTTTACTTGGCTGAAAACTGATAGCAGGGATGCTTTGTCTCAAGGAAGGAGATGTGGAAATTCTCTTGCATGTTTTGCACTGTGCAGGGGTGGGAGTACTTTAAAACTCTGAGKCAATACCTTTCCTGGGAAATGGCAGATCCTCTGAGATACCTCTGTGAAAATAGTGGCATGGAAAAATGAGGTGGGATACAATGAGTTTTKAATTCCAAAGTAAGAAACTCAAGTTGCCTTGGGTTTTGCTTAGCCCTTCCCAAGAGTATGGGTAAGCCTTGTAAGGTGGTCCCTGATTTAAAGATGTACCTTATGGAGACCAATTAATAAGAAATAATTGTACAGTTATTAATGGGCAATTTGATGCTCTGTATCCACTAATCCTGATGATATGCACAGTATGTGTATTCCCTGTGGAGAAATTAGTAGAAACTTGGAAGCTGCTTTTTTGGAGAGTACAAGACACGAATTGGAATTCTCTCCTTGAGAAATACAAGTTTGAGTCGATCAAGTTGGAGATGTTTTTCTCCAAGGCAAATCTTTTAAGAGAAGAATTCATCCAACACATGAAAATGAGAGGGAATTTGTTTTGGTGCTGTTATCCATATTCTGTCTGCATGGATGTTCTGTGGGCCATGTGGGCCCCTGGAAGGTTGGGTGCTGCTTTATCTTGGCTGAGTTCAAGGTGGAATGTTGCACTCCAGCTATGAAGTAGTAGTTTTGAGAGAGAAAAACATTTGACAAGCTGGAAAATAAATTAGGTAATTATTAGGAATAATGCAGCATTTGGGGAGCTTTGTTGCAGTGCTGTGTGCTGGTGTCTGGATTGTTTTGGGAATGACTTTTTCACCATGTTAATCCTTCATGCCTTTGTTTCCCCAGAAAGCCATCAGYGAGTGCAGATCTCTGCCCGTGGCTGTGGTTGGCACTCACCTGCTGCAGGCTCTGAAAGCTGGCTACACTGTGAGCCTGGAGAGAGCAGGTTTGACTCCTGAAGTTCAGCACATCATTACCGATGTTATCCGCAAACCTCCCATTAACTCAGGTGWGCTTCTCGTGCCAGGTAGAGCCCATCAAAACTGGAAGGGTCACTGCTTTCCTTTCAAGATTCACTTGTAAACCAAGTGGGGCAGCCCTGTACAAATCCTTAGACTCAATTGTATGGAAAAGATCGAGATATCCCTCTTAAATCTGTATTTACCCAAATGTTTTTGGAGAAAACATCAGCCTGACAAAGTGTTCTTGTGGGACTGACATACTCAGATAACACACTGGGAATTTATGACATGATCTTAAGAGTCAAACCCATACAATTTTATATTCTTATCTTTTCTATGCTTTAATGAGGGACACCCAATGTGTTTTATAATAGGAAAACTGAATTAGGGGCAAGAAGCTTAAACAATTAATACTGTATTTATATTTTTTCAAGACACTACCAAAATTCAAGAAATTAGAAAACTTACTCCTGCCAATATTGAGTTATATCTCATCAAGATGRTGATTGCACTGTTGGAGAAAGAGGATAAAAATAAATCTCAGGATGGCTCAGGCATCAAAAGAAGGTTGGTGTGGCCTGAAGGGAAGCAGGAAAAAACAGAAGCAGATCAAGCAAGCAGGGAAGGTGCCTTGTGGAATAAAACACAGGTTAGTAAAAGGAGGTATAAACTGTTCTGTGAAATAATGGTTTTTTTGTAGGGCAGACTAACAGAATGTTGTTGCMGTTTTCAGCAGTGCTTAGTGTCTTGTCTTCCCAATCCATGTCTCCCCTCTCCCTTAGTTTTGAGTAGAACTGAGCACTCCTCTGGGAAGGAGGAGGCAAAGCAGAAACTGGGGATTCTTTTTGGATCAGTATTGACCTAGGAAGACATTACAAGTTCTTCTCAGTATGAAAACTTGGATCCTTCATGGCAGCCAAATCCAGGTTGTGCCCTTGCTTTGCTTCTCTGCATTAGTACCTATAACCAACCTGGTGTAGAAAAAGAGATTGTTCTACTATGCAGGAAGCAGGAAGGTTAAGAGGGTGAAAAAGCCAGAGGCTGGCAATGCCAGCCAGGAATGTCTTTGAGTTTTCCATGTTGCTTKAAAATGCTGGGCACAGACTGGTAAGTGTCTCCTTGGGGGCAAATCTTGGGGCTGTTTCAGGRAATCAGGATAGTGTCAGCCCTCTGCTGTCCTCTCTGACCCCAAGTCCCAGTTCAGCACCTTGTACAAAGRGCACCCTGCACTGAGTGGGTGCATTCCTGGTGGGAATGGTAAAAAGAAATAGCATACTCCAAATCCTGCTGCCTGTGCTGGCATTTCATGTCTGTTCCTTACAGGGTTTTGGGCTGATTTCTTACAAGGCCAACTCWAACAATTTTTCAAGCACTGCCATTTTGCCAAATTGATTTTCTTGCATCCCTGAGGGCTGTTTTGTTTCTCCAATATCCGTGTCAGAACCACCTTTTTCCTGCAGTTGACCTCCTGACAGTCAAATTGCCTCAGCTCTGATCACACTTGTTCCTGCTGCTGTTAGCTCCTGGAGCTAATAATGGGAATGACATGCTATTAATAATCAAATTAATATAATCCAAAGGAGTAGACAGCAAATCCAAAAGCTAATCCAAAACCAGTCTTTATTGACTTCTCCTTCAGAAGATATCCTGTTCTAATAATTCTCTGTAGCAAGCAATTTTAAATCTGTTAATGGATGTTCTTGGATTTGAGCAGCCTGACATTGCTGCTGCTTTTACAGGGTAATTGGATCAATCCAGCATCCAAGGAAGGAGTACAGAAACCCCCTCTGCATGTGGTGCCTTTGCCTTCGGTAAACTGATGTTCTTACTCTAATAAAGCACGTGGTAAATTTGCCATTAGTGAGGATTTTGGTAACACAGGGATGTGTAGCTGATCCAAAAATCTCAGCGTGACTGCWGCAATCTGTGACCAGCAGGATGGTAAAAAAAAACATTAGTTAATATCTCTGTGCCYACTGTGCTGGTTTTAACTGTTACTTTTGCCCTAAAAACACATTTGAAAATACAACACTTGTGAGTCAGAAGTAAATATTTCAAGTAAATATTTCAAGTTTTCAGAGCCATAGGGATGGAGGGAGTGTGTTTCTCCACTAAAATAAACAAAAAGGCCTAAGTACAAGTTTCAGTTGCTGTGTGTTAGTATTGCATGAACTTCACTTGCTCCAATTTTGTTGTGGTGAAATGAATAATAGGCAGTGCCCTCATTAAGCAGAGGTGTTGGAAGTTTGTTGATAATGGATTGTGACACAAGTAACATCCTGCTTCCTTTGTGTCCCATGGGAAGGCTGCAGGGAGCGTGGATGCCAGCCGGGCAGGGACCAGGGGGGCAGCAGGTCCCTCCAAGCCCATCAGCTCTGCCTCCAACCAGCCTGCCKTGGATCCTGAGGAGGAGGAGCTGTTTGCTGACTGTCTGCCCAAGGTGAGACTGCAGGAGCATAGCTGATCACAATGAAGGATTTTTGTACTGGTGTCTATAGGAAAACAAGTTGTATGAGCAGCCATTAAGTATTTTTATTACAAAGGGTTCACTTATTGAACCCCTTGCTTCAGCTTGAAGCTTGATATTGCTGTGAGTGCAAATCTTCCTCAGCCTTGGTTCTTAGAATTTAGTTCTTAGTCCCTTAGTTGCTTGAATGAAGTGTTGGATTTAAGTGAGACATAAGCCTTCCATAAACAATTTGGATGGTTCACAGCTCCAGCTGAGCACGAATTTGAGGATTAGAGCTGTGTGAATGTGCCAGGCTGTGAATGTGTGTTTCCTTCCATATTTGTGCATTTGTTTCCTTTCCAGAACCCTCATCCCCCTGCTAAGAGGCGGGTGCCGGAATGGTTTGGAACCTCAGCAGCAACRGCTGGACCTGTAACCCAGATCAAGAAATGCAAAACAGAAACCAGAAAAGGGATTTTCAGTTAAATGTGGAAATCAAGTTGATTTTTTTTTTTTTTTGAGTCTTCCTTCCCACCACCAGGAGCATTATGTGCAGAGACWGTTGCCTCACAGGGGCTTTAAGTGCCTCTAGTCTACTCTGCATTCCTCCTGCTGCCTTATCTGTTCCTCAAGCAGCACTTTCACGACTTTTTCACTGTGTGAAATGCAATGTAAATAAAAACATTTAAATAAATAACTCCTTTGTGTGTATTGGGGGGGCGGGGCTGAGGGCGGGCAGGCCCGGCGCGCGTTGCCATGGCGACAGCGCGGCCGTTTCCGGGGCGGGGCGCGCGGGGGCTGCCGGGAGCGGCATGGCTCGCTAGGCGGCGGCGGCGCGCGGGTGAGCGGGCGCGCGCGGGGGGCGCCGTGAGGGGACGGGGCGGGAACCGGGACCGGGATCGGGATCGGGACCGGAGCGGAGAGCGGGACACGGGGAGCGCCTTCCCCGCTCGCTGTTCGCCTGCGAGGCACCGGCACCCTCCGCCCGCTGGTTTCCGGTCGCCCGCCCGCCCGCCGCGCTGCCACTTTGTTCCCTGCTCCCTCGTTAGCCCGGTGCGTGTCTGTCCCACCGTGAGGGCTGGTTCGGCATTCCCGTTCTCCACCTTCACACTGCTTAGGGTCCCGGTGGTGCCCTGACACCTTTACCCTCTTATTTAAGTCCGTACTGRGGAGAAKGAGGAGCAAACAAGAAATAAATTGYTCCGCAGGGATGTGGTSACAGCACCAATCCTGACMCAGCTSACGGAGYGGTTGGACAACACYYCCAGGCCCAGAGTAGGATTTTGGGGTGCCCTGTGTAGGGCTAAGAGTTGGACTCAGCCATGGGACCCTGTGGGTGCTATCCACCTCGCCATATTCTGTGATAAAAAGATACTTATTTTCCTAAATACCTTATTGACGCAGACGCCTTTTTCTCGCCTTTTCCCCGTGGCAGAATCATGGATCCCAGCTTGCTGAGGGAGCGGGAGCTGTTCAAAAAGAGAGCCCTTTCCACACCCGCCGTAGAGAAACGCCCAGCGCTCTCCTCGGAGTCCTCTGCCTCCAAGAAGAAGAAAGCCAAGGTAGAACAAGGGGGCTCCTCCAGCTCAAAACCAAACACAGGTGGGTGGAATTCTCCTGWCCAGCAGCTGCTTGGTGTTTGCCACTACTTGCCTTTAAGATGTGGTTTATTAATGTGAATAACATTATATCTGTGCGTTTTGCTGGTGGCTGTTGTCATTCTTCCTTTTAAATTACCATTTTTTGTTAAGAAATTCATTTGCCCAATGTGAAGAAACATACTTCCTAGCAGACATATGTGTTAAGCCTGATTCTATAACTTGTTCACTGTTGCTCCATTGGAGAAATTGCTACTGCCAAAATTATTCATGGGAAGCTGTGCTTCCATGGTTTATGGATTTCAGTGCCTGCTGGACCTGCAGTAGCAATGGTTTCATTCATTTTTTTCTGTGTTTGCCATGTTGGATAGAGCCTGGAGGAACCTAGTCTAGAGGACAGTGTCCCCATGGCAGGGGATTGAAACTAGATTATCTTTATGGTCTCTTCCTGCTCAGATCATTCTATGATTCTGTAATTGTTTCTATCAAGAGAGCTTCTAAAACATCTAGGTAACTGTTAAGTTGAAGGGTATGCATGAATGAGATGGATTTTGCAAGGGGTATTTTGTCTGGTTTGCATGTTGCAATTAACAATTGTCCTTGCTTTACTTGGGAGCTCAGCTTTGCTGATGAGCATCAGGTGTTCCAGAAGTGTCTGCCTGTTTTACTCTGGAGTTGTGGCATTTCCCTGGCTGATAACACTGATAATGCATCTCTCAGTACGACATAAACAGTTAAAAAAGCAGCACCAAAAATAGTGGGAGTGTGTGGAAAGTGCAGCACCAGGGAGAGGATTTGTTCCGAAAGCAGTGGCAGTTCTTGAGTGTGCTCTAAAGGTCAGATCAAATGCCAGGAGTTACTAAAYCACAAAATACCCTGTTGTGCAAACWCAGTCCATGCCCATATTTTGAATAATATCACACGTGGCTCTCTCCTAAACTCCAGAAGAAACAATAGAGCTAAAAACAACAGAGAAAAATGTGAGGGGGGTTGGGAGGAGTGAGGCATCTTCTGTCCCAGGGGAAAACTAGGGAATTTGGGTATGTGTCTGCAGCTTCTCAGGCACCAAAGAAAGTATCAGCCTGACATTCTAAAATAAATCAAGGGAGACSGTGTTTCCATCCATCCCTTTTTCACTCTCTCCAAATAAAACAAAATTCTGCGTGGAATATCCTGAGCTGCGTCACTGGTGTGAGCAGGGGTTGCTGGGAGGAAGGCATTAGGAGTCAGGAAGAGGGCAGAGGGTACAAATGTGAGTTTGACCTGGAGGATCTGAGCAGATAAGGAAGGTTTCATTTTGTTTCTGTGGTTTTGGTGGCCTGAGGGGCTTTTTTAGGTGCTTTTGTGGCTGTCAGACAATTCGCTTGCACTGACAGAGACCTAGTATGGCTGTGAGGAAATACACTTGCTCTTTTATGCTGTTGGCTGCATTCCAGACACTACCAGAAAGGTTTCAGGGCTTCTGTAACAATTTTATGCTGCAGAGTCAAAATATATTGCCTCAAAACCCCCTTTTTATTTGCTTTACCAGATTGACAGGTGCCTGTCAGGATATGTGGATGTCAGAGATGGGTCTGGAGAGGTGGAGTAACAACTTGATGTTGAAGAATCCCTATCTCACTCTCTCAAAGAAACAAAAACTAATGTGGTTAGTCCTGGTTTTGTTGTGCAGTGACCACAGATGTGATAAATAGGGTCCCAGTGTTTGTGTGTTGGCACGGATAGTCCCTGAGTGTGTAGTGCCCACAGGTCCTTCCTCTCTCTGTGGGTCTGTGATTCTGTGACTCTGAGAACCTGCCCTTGTCACATTTTGGGGGAGGAGAGGTATGGAGAGCATGCTAATCTTCAAATGATTGCACAGCTAAATCTGGCCTGTGCATGAAGACCGGCTCTAAGCTTCCCACTGCTCCACTAGTGTTTACTACACAGAGATTGCTATCATTATTTCAAGTCATTATTTCAACAAGTTACTTGGAAAAATTCAAAACTGCCTTGTTCACTCAGTTCAGAATAGTAACTAGAAAATAAATGAAATAGATAAAATTTGTTTGTTTCATTTTATTAATTAACAGTAAGTTGTGGCTATGGTCTTAGTCTTTATGCTAAGACCTTTGTCTCAGTGGTYTCCACCAACAGTAGTCAAGAGCAGAAATCTTCAGGGGCTGTGTCATGGGAAAGAATCATCCTGAGTCTTCYGTAGTGCTGTGCAAAGGGACACGTTTGTCTGCTGTTCCTTGTCCCCACATCCATTCCCCTTTACAGACCTGTGAAATGAAAAGCTGGGATGAGTCCCAGTATTTGTCATTCCATGTGCTTCTCAGGAAGGCATAAGAACGCATGGCCAGCACAGCACACGCTGCCTTCTTGTGTGCAGCCRTGATGGGCATTTTGTGGGAATGCTGCAAGTGTCCAGAGCATTTGCTTTTAGGAAAGAGACATTGATTAACTCAGTGCATCCCAATGGCCACTCTGGTCTCTCTTAAGCAGGACTTTGCAGGCTGATGCTGTCACATACAGCAGAATGTAATGAGTCATTGTTATCATCACTGGTTATCTTCATGATACAGTCCGAATCCTAAATTGTCTTGGAGTATCAGCTTCCATTAGTTGTGCTTACAGTTTAAATTTGAGCTCGAAGCATTCTCTGCACAGGGGACTGGTCCTGGCTGAACTTCACTGTAAGAAGTGTGTCTGAGATGAATGGTTGTGTGGTTTGTGGCTGCAGAAGGGAGTTTGCTTCTCCAGGTGAATCACTGGACTTGCTGTGCTAGTTCATAGTGCCCTGGGTGTCTTGTGACTCCATCTCACCAGCCAGGAGCAGCACGAGTCAATTAGCAGGTCTTGCACTGTGTCCAGATCTTCTGGAGCTTACTCATACTCAACCTGAGAGAGGGATTTGATATATTAATTTTTTTAAAAGATATAATTAATTGCACAGAGGTATTTCAGGTGTGGATGGACTGTGAGGTCACTTAACAGCTGTGGCCATTTAGGTGGGTTTTGTTTCCCTCATGACAGGAATATTATTTGGAATTAATATGGTTAAGTGACTTGTCCCACTTGTAGCTTTGCTTTGGGACATTCCTGTGTGGTTTCAGGAGTGTGAAAGACTTGTCAGGAATTACTGATGGCCACACTGTTACTACAGTTGTTATTTGTAACTGCAAAACTTGCATGGTTTGAAAAATCAGACACATAGCTACAGAGAACCAGTAACCTGGTGAGACAGAGGTGTGAGAGTTCTGTGGTSAGGCTGTGAGGAAGGTGTGAGTGTGAACTCTGGGAGATGAAGTAAAGTAAGATTCTCTTGTGCAAAGTGAAGCTGCCCTCTCTAGTGCAGTGCTGATCCTGCTGTGGCCTCTTCTGTGGAAAACGTTGGCACTTGCAAGCTGCATATGGTCTGGGTGGCATCCCTCTTTTTGGTGTGCTGCCCATCCACTTGTGTTTCTTGGCAAGAGCTCCATCAGTTCCAGTTTGGCTTTGAAAGTTTGGGACGGGAATGATAGATCCAACGTGTCCAGCTCCCTGTAGTAGTGTGGTTGCCAGAGAGGAAGCAGCCTTGGAGCAGAGAAGTGTCCCTGTTTGTKCTTGGCAGGATTTTGTGGAAAGGGTCGGATATTCTCAAGTCAGTGAGTTACTCAGGTCTCAACACAGAAATTTTTKACCAGGCTGAATATGCAATAAGGGGAGAGCACTTCTCTGGAATTGGAGAAGTGGGGGAAGAAAGGGTCAGAGAGGATTAGAAAAGGCCTTTTTAAGGATACATTTCATGTTGGCTTAGTTTTCCTCCCACCACCCTCTCTTCTAAAAGCAAGAAACCCATAATGAAAATACTGCCAAAGGCAGAATTCACCCAATCCTCTCCTGCCTGAAGGGTCTGTTGCCATTCAACCCGTCTCTCCCATCCTTTTTCTTACCCCTTGTCTGTCTGAGCTGTCCCTGTGTGGTTGACTTAGTGGGACAGCTCTGCTGTCTTTGCACAGAATGTGATCAGATTGTTGAGCATTTTTATAGTGTTTTCTTCAGTTAAGCAACACAGTTTTATGCAAGTTAGGCAACATTTGTTTGGTCGGGTAGACAAAATTCTATGCTAGTCACTCAATATAAACAGCAAAAGTTCATCTAAAAGCAAAAATCGTTTTTCCCCCGTAACACTGCAATAGATTGTCCTTCTGCTAAGCACTTGGAAAGCCTTTGCCAATTATTCCAGTCCACATCCATAGATAACATTGCAACTGTTGATATTTAAGTCCAAAAGAAAAAAGCACRTGACTTGCTTAGTTGTAAGGTACAAGAGGCTTCATTCGAGGTGTCAGACCAAGTTGTCCAAGTGCAGATGCTCAGTCCTTTCTACACCACCTCTGTTTCACGCTTCCTGAAGCTGTTCATCATTGCTCTGACAGGATTGGGCTCGTTCTCCAAGTCTTTCACAGTTTTGTTTTTCACACAGCAGCAACAGTCCAACAGTTCATACAGGAAAGCCAGYACCACCAGAGAAACTACAGTGAAGATGAATATGATCAGGATAACAAAGCAGGCAGTGTTCCAGTTGTCATGGAAAGGGTATATTTTTTGCACTTGGAAGCCCAAATATTGGGAAATAGATGTAGTCTCATTCCAATGAGTGCTGTTGAGGGTTGCCATTCTTGAAGGGTTGTCTGAGTATGCTCACTGTCACAGATTTGGGAGCTGAAACACAAAAACAAAGCTGTTGAGGACTCTGTCAATCAAGGACATGCTGTGATTCTTACCACAAATTGTAACTACTTAAGAKCAGATTAAGTGCTCTAAGTTTCTACAAACATGGATTGTTGCATATTCATGTTTGCTTACAAAAATATCTAACTCCAAATGTACAAGTTTGTGATAGGACTGAAACATTTATTTCGGTAGTGTCTGGTTCATGCAGGCATCATGTGGTATAAGTTACTGAGGAATGAGAGAGCTTTGTGTCTGTATTTCAATTAAATGCACAGACAGAAAGGTTCCAAAGCCAATTTTTGGGATGTACAGTGGTTTCAACCACCTGTCCATTGTCAGTCTTGAGACTGGTGCTTGCATGGTGTGAAAGCCCTATTATTTTGGAATTGCCTGTTWGCACAGACTTGTTCACCCTGCAAAACTCTTTAGACTTCCTGATTTCCTGAGATTTCAGGAATTTAGATTTCCTGACCTGTTCATTTCCCCTGCTCCTCCACTGCTGAGTAGTTTGTGCTGAAGAAACCCAGCTGCTTCACTCAGTTGCCCAGATAGCACTGTGAGTGTTCAGAAATCCTATTTGTGGTGCCATAGTCATTGGGGTGGATAACAAGGAAAACCCAATACTTTCTGAGGAGTTTTGAGTTCTTATTTTCAACCTGTTTAACTGCTGAGAAAGGAATGTCACCCTGGCCCCAGTGCTGGCTGTTTGCACCCAGCAGAGGAAGAGGCTGCTCTCTGGTGTGGGGAGACCTGAAACAAGAAGTTGCCTTCAGCAAATCTGCCCTTGCTCTGTAGTCTAATGTAATAAAAATTGTCCAAGGAGCCATGCTAACTGTTATCTGCTGTGSCTGTAGGACATTGTAATAACCTTTGAATCTGTCAGGCACTTGAAAACTGGGTGTGGAATGAGATCAAGTCAGATTTCTTTATTTCCTTGCAGAATGAGCAAGGTTTTTAGGTGGTTTTTATGGTGGTTATGGTGTCTACTTTAAAGCAGTCTGAGCACCTGACCTTAATTCTGTGAAATTATTAAAGAAAATGATACAGTGAAAAGCAGGATCATGCAGCCAAACCATCTTGTAATCTATGTCTTATTTTTACTGTTCAAATATTRCACATTTTGTTCTTTATCCTTCTGTCTTTAGTTGATTTAAATTGAAATGAAAAAGCTTTGTTGCTGGAAAGGTCCCTGGCATTACTGTTCCATACAGACATTTGCTTTAGCAGTTGCAATAACTTACTGTTTCCTCTRTAAAGTCTGTAACTGAATACACAAATTAGTAGTTGAATATACAAAGTATGACTGAGATGGATGGGATTAATTAAACTCTTGGTGGGTTTTTTTCCCCTTAAACAAAAGTTTACAGTGTAAATCCAAGCTAAAAATACTCTTGGCTTGAGTCAGGTCCTGGCTTTGAGAGTGTGGCTTGATTTGGTCATGGTCTGGGAAGGAAACTCAGCCAACCTGTTACGGGGCTAAAAGTCATGAGGATTTTTGAAGGGGTGGCTTGAAGACTTGAAAATCCGTGAGAGAAAGAGAGAACGGGAATCTGAATAAAAGGATTTGGAGTCCCCTCTGAGAAGTAATTAAAATAAGCAGGATTTAGTTGTGTGCTTTAAATGGCAAGAGGATACCTTTGGGAAAGAAAAGAGTTTTGTTTTGAACTTTGTAAACAGATAGTTAAGATTGAGGGTTTTGTAAGAATCTGTTACATGTAAGTTTGCTCGCTCTCTAAACACCAGGCACAAAAATAGACTGTTTTTGTCATGCAAAATGTAGTAATTTTAGGAGGTTTTCTTAATTTGCATTGCTCAAAGCGATCAAAATGTGGGATTGCTTGAGGAACCTGTCATGTCTGCATTGTGTAGCCAGCACAGCTCTCTGCCAAAGCAGTACCTCTGTCCCCAAGGGGAGAGGAGCATCTTGGGCACAGCA